TGTTCACGAATGTCCGGTGCTTTAACCGGGTTGGTGGACATGGAAAGTTCGCCTAGGGGAGTTGGAAAATCCTGATTCCAAACCAATGGTGTACATGGGCTCCAGTATCTCGAGGGAACAAATGGCGTATAAACCTATTGTTGGTCACCGGTTACCATTGGACTGAATCTCCTCACGATGCTCCACTGCCTTGTGGGTTAGACTTTTAGGTCAAAGGCTTGGTGTGTGGCCTCCTTAGAAAACCACCTGTTTCAGTCTGGGCACCTGGGCAGTATTACAGCCCTCACATAAATCAAATGAGATTGGTGTGGCGTATACATATCTGGTGCCCCCTTTTACCAATATTTATTTTTTAAAATAATAATAATAATGTTGTGCTACTGATGTTGACAGGTATAATTAGTATGTATCATCATCGAAAGTGAAATACCTAGAGGCATAATGTTAAGAAGATCGAAGAAAAGAGAATGAGAACGGTGAATGATTGGTGTGAAAATGAAGGAACAATGAAGTCTGAGACGATGGACTGACATTTTACAAATGAAGTATTTACTGTATAGTACTCAGATTTTACTAAGTGATTCTGTACATTTGTAACCAGATACATTCGACTGTTTCTACTTGTGGTCTCGTTCTTTACAGTTTAACTAACAGATAAATGAATTTAGAATAATATCATGAGATCAAAATCACTTTAGTAACTATTCATTGAAACCTTTTCCTTATTTACAAATTTTCTAAAAGAAATATGGATAGTGGCTAGCAGTGGAATCCACTACGCGCGTTTCGTCCTATTCGCGACTCGTCAACTGGATGTAACTCAGAGTTAATGTTCACTCTGGAACTGGAACCCAGTACTGTTCGCTTCAAACGCCATCGCGTTATCCACTCGGACTGACCAGACTGAATAGTTGCAGTCATAACACATCGATGGAAATATTCAAACAGACAATACTAAATGAATTTGATAATCATCATTATTTGATAAAATTGATCCTTTAAGCTGAATAGATCAATTAAGAAGTTTTTTGTTATCTTTTCTAGACAATGTTTTAATCTCTCTCTCTGTCTCTCTCTCTAAGTAGGTATTAGGGTTGTCTCAATGATGAATTCCATAAAGTTCGTTAGAAGGATTTTTTTCCTCTCTTAACGTACTCCATAATCTGATTATATATTTCGATGTTATTTAATCAAGAAAGGATAATCCGTTTTTGAGCTTTTATATTAGACATTTTTTTATGTTAATGAGTTCGATAAGTATTTTTTGGATAAAGTTGAGTTGATACCTTACTTACTTACTTACTTACTTACTTACGCCTGTTGCTTCCAATGGAGCATAGGCCGCCGACCAGCATTCTCCAATCCTCTCTGTCCTGGGCCTTCCTTTCTAGTTCTATCCAATTCTTGTTGATTGTTCTCAAGTCTGTCCCCATTTCTCGGCCTAATGTGTTCTTTGCTCTTCCTCATCTCCTTTAAACCTTCAGGATTCCATGTGATTGTTTGCCTTGTGACGCAGTTGGGTGATTTCGTCAATGTGTGTATGTGAGCTGATACCTGATCTTATTAAAAAAACGTTGAAGTATTTAGGTATATCTCTTCATCTGATGGATTTGTTACAATACATCCTTAGTCTTTTGAATATGATTTGTACCTGTCTGGTCGTGTGATGATTTAGATTGTTCTATTACAGTGTAGAATTCTGTTTGTATGCTTCGGCCCTCAATAAATCGATGTCTGTAGTTTTCCTATATTGGTTCTAGTAGTCAATACATCAAATACTAGTAATTTGTCGTTTAGTCTCATTTCTAACTTGATTCACATATCCTTGAAGATGTGGATTACAAACATTTCTCTGTTCGTTATTTTGCTTATCATTCACAGTTCGTCCAAATAACAGCTGTATATTTTTGTCTTCATCCCTGATAAACTTCCGACCTCTTTGATAAGTCTACAAACTAGCGGTTTCTTACACAAAGGTGTACATCTTGTCATTAAATTAAATTAGATACAATTCAGGAAGCTTCATTCCATACTGATTATGAAGCTTTTTGTATTTTGTTAAGTTTATATTCTTTACAGTGTTATCTAGTTAAACTAAGAATGTAATACTGGAAGATATTATCAACTGATTAGTGTTAATTTAAATTTTTTACTTTTCATAATTTACCACTACTGTTAATATTTACCTAAAATACTTAGGAGTCCCACAATAGGACGAAACGGTCATCCAGTGCTTCCAGGTTTTCCATGGTGGTCTAGCTTCAATGGATTCATGATTTCAACTATTGAAATGTTTTACAGTTGAAACCATGAGTCAATTGAAGCTAGATCATCAAGGAAAACATGGAAGCAATGGACGGCCGTTTCGCCCCATTGTGTAACTCCTTAGCAGTGCACATCCACGACCTCACCCAGGATTTACCAGTCTTACGAATTCTAAATCTCCATAAAAACTCCCTCTGATTAAAATGTTTTAGTCAATTTCTTGTTATTTTGTAAATTCACGATATGATACTTATACATAGCAAAACATAAATAAATTTGTTGTAAACAATTCCTTTGTCTATGACAAGGTTGGATGGAAAGTGTTGGTGGGTGACCTTTGTTCCTCCATGACGAAGGGGGGGGAACAGGCTTAAGTAAGTAAGTAAATAATCCCTTCATTAAATTAATTATCTTATCACCAATAAATTTATTGAATACAGGAATTTTCTATAAAGATTTTATGACACTTTTTAAATGTCAAATTTGTCAAGCTTTATCGTTGAAAAAAAAAACAGATTTTTTTATAGATACCAATATGAGATATTTTTAGAAAGGAACATTTAAAGAAGGAAACAGAAATAAGATACATTCGGTTGAAGAGTCTTAAATGGGACGAAACAAGAGTTGTAGATTTCACTGTTAGCCACTATTCATCTTTGCTTATAATGCTTTTGAATTAAGCCAATATCAAAGCAGTTCGCATAGGATGTACATATGCCAATAAGTGATTTATCAATTGTAGTCCTAAAAAAACAAAAATAGACAGATACAAGCAAACAATACTAAGTGCGTGTACTTACTTAATTACGTCTGTTACTACAAATAAAGCATAGGGCACCGACCAGCATTCTCCAACACACACTTTCCTTGGCCTTCCTTTGTAGCTGTACCCACTTGTTGTTGATTCTTCTCATGTCTGTTTCCATTTCTCGGTGAAACATGTTCTTTGGTGTTCTAATCCTTCTTTGACCTCCAAAATTCCACGTGAGGGCTTGTCTTGTGACGCAGTTGGCTGATTTCCTTAATCTGTGTCCAATCCAATTCCCGGGCTCCTTCCTCATTTCATTCTCCACTCTAATCTGATTTGTTCTCTTCCATAGTAGGATAGTGTTTGGTCAAAGGATCCGAAGTATTTTGTGTAGTCAACTGTTATAAACACTTTTATCTTCTGGATGATTGTTTTCGTAGTTCTACAGGTTTCCTCCCCATATAGTTGAACTGTCTCGACATTTATATTGAAAATTCTGACTTTCGTGTTACTTGACTAGTTCACATGTTATTCACTTGTAAATATGCATGTAGCCCCTCCATGGTCTACTGCCGGTCCCAAGGCTGAATAAAGGAGAAGGGTTGGTCATGGGAGTTAGCGACACCATCCCGTAGAAAACTAACTTGCTAAAAAAATGCTCACCAAGAAAAAAATAATTCAAATAAATTCACTTACTTACTTGCTTACTTACTTATGCTTGTTACCCTTCGTAGAGGAGCATAGACCACCTATGAGCATTCTCCATCCAACTCTATCCTATAAAATGTATTCCAGTTTTTTCCAATTACTATTCATCCTTTTCATGTTTACTCTTAAATCACGATGTAGTGAATTCTTTAGTCTTCTTAAGGCATAAAATACATTTTAAATCAAAGAAACCGTTTCATGTTATTCATGTTTACTTAAAATTTAAGTTTGAACAAAAGTTTATCAATTGAAACAGTTAATGAATGCTAATCAGCGGCCTATGCTCCATTGGGAGTAACAGTCGTAAGTAAGTAAGTAATTAATTATAACGAACTTTAACTATTAAAACTTTTTATTGGATTAATAATGAATTTGATTTTGAGTTCCGGAGTGAACATTCGAAGCAAAGATGGATCGTGACTAGCAGTGGAATCCAACACGCACGTTTCATCCTATTCGACACGCGTCAGCTAGATGTACATGCATCTCAGAGTTGATGTTCACTCTGGGACTCGAACCTAGTACTGTTCTCTTCAAACACCATGGAGTTATCCACTCAGCTACTGAGTTTTGATAGTCACATGCTTGTGTAATGGGGACTGATCAATTTCAATCCTAAACATGAATGGGAAGATTCAAACAAATAATACCAAATGAATTTAAACTTCAACCGATTGCACAAGCAAGTAGCTATCAGGACTCAGGAACAAAATAGATAACGCGATGTCATTTAAAGCGTACAGTACTGGGTTCGAGTCTCAGAGTGAACATCAACTCTGAGATGCAAGGTACATCCAGCTAACGAGTCCCAAAGTAGAACGAAACGCGCATCCTGGATTTCACTACTAGTCATTATCCATCTTTACTAAGAATTTAACTTTCGTTTTATATAATTGCATATAAACATTTATTAAATAGTTGAAAGCGTCAGTCAATTGAAGCTAGACAACTAGGGAAAACCTGGAAACACTGAACAGCCGTTTTGTCCTATTATGAGACTCATCAGCAGTGCGCATCCACGAACCCGCTCTCGCGAGCGAGATTCAAGCCGGAGTCCTTAACCAATAGACCACTGAGTTGACATCCAACGTTGTCTTCAGTGATTTCCTATCCTACAACAGACGTGGTTTTGAACACCAGGTTTTCCATGGTTGTCTAGCTTCAATTGATTCACGCTTTCTACTATGAAATATACTAAATCTTCACAAAACCCCCTTCTAATAATTTATTAAATATTCTTCTTGTGTTTTTTTTTTGTTTTCTTGTTTTCCCATTATAGTCTGCTCTATTATTATTGAACAATTTTCAAGGTGGATGTTTCAGTGCTACAGTTTATGAAAGATTAGGTGATTTTTTGGATTTTTTAACGCTAATTAATAATGGTTTAAATTTTATTTTATATTGTGTTATGTCAAGACAATTTAGATATACATTTTTACAATTATTTTGCCCATTTCTTAATTTATAACCTGTGTGATCTATATCCATCTATCTATCTATCTATCTCTCCATATATCTGCTTATTGTGCAAATGATTAGCAAGATTGTTGTATATGTACAGACATATATCTATATAAATAAACTCTTGTGAATACTTGTCTTATGTTTTCTTCATGGACTTAGTAACTAGATCAAAGTCAATTGAATAATAATTAGTAGTATTGTTTAATTCACTTAGTATTGTTGGTTTGAATCTTCCAATTGATGTTTAACAATGCAATTGATTAGTCTATTATTGGCATTGTAGTGAACACGAATACAAGTGGGGAAAATCGAATATATTTAAGAACTAATTTCTGAAAATTCCGATACCTCCATAATGCTTTGTTACGGTCGAGAGTGGGGAGAGTCCGCTCTTCCTCTCGAAATGCTCTCACATGGCCACGCGTATATAACCCCTACTAAGGAAGTCCTACTCACTGACTTTTCACAGTGGCATTACTGTTGTTTACGAAATTGAGAGGATGAAAAGCAAATATTCAACCCATTAACCGGGTTGGCGGACACAGAAAGTCCACCTAGGGGAGTTAGAAAACCCTGATTCCAAACCAATGGTGCACATGGGCCTCAGTTTCCTGAAGGAAAAAATGGCGTATGAACCAATTGTTGGTCACCGGTTACCATGGGACTGCATCTCCACACGATGCTCCACTGCCTTGTGAATCAGATCTTTAGGTCAATGGCTCTGGGTGTGGACCCCTAAGAAAACCACCTGTTTCAGTTTGGGCGCCCGGGTAGTCTTACAGCCCTCAAACAAATCTCATTTGATTTGTGTGGCGCATATGTATCTGGTGCCCCTTTGCACTAATATTTATGTGTTTAAATAAATAAATAAATGATAACCGTACAATGAACAGTTAATTTGTAAATAACAACCAATTATCTCAATCTTCACTGTTCCTTCTTTAAATATCAATCCATCTTCTCTAATTTTATTGTTTATGCATTTTCCTAGCAATTGCGCTTCATTTCAGTTCTTTAATTACCGGTTTTCTGCCCAATTACATTCAATGTCTGACAATCACCCTATACTACTTAAATCGATATAAGTACACCATACAACAGTATATGTGCATACTGTGGGTATTGCCTCGATAGAGCCTTAATTCATAAGCATTATGGATAGTGGCTAGCAGTGGACTAGTCCCAAATAGGACGAAACGCGCGTCTTGAAGTTTATTGAAATATCTCTTTACGATAAAATTGAAATACTCTAAAAATTTAACGATAGATTCAAAATATTTATATATATAAAACCTTTGGACAATTCATTCAAAGTTGAACGTTATTTATTTATCAGAAGGGGCTTTTGTGGAGATTTTAATAGTATTATAGTTGAAATCATTAGTTGATTGAAGCTAGAGCACCATGGAAAACCTGGAAGCATTAGACAGCCGTTTCGTTTTATTGTAGGACTCCTCAGTAGTGCGCATCCACGATCACGCGTCGCCAGATTCGAACATAGGAACTATCAGTCTCACGTGCGAGCGCATAACCAATACTAATAGGTAAAGTTATTGTAGATGAACTGTTCATGAGATTATCGTTTGTTCTCACTCTAGGTGCTGGTATAATATCAGGCCTACATAGGTTATTCTAGCCTCTTGACAGATTAATCTATTCATTCTTATTAAGACATACTATTAACCTGTCAATTATTCGCTTATTAATTCTGACTTTTTATGTAAGCTTATGTATGTACCTTTCTTATCTTACTTATCACATGTCTGTAACTTATTTTATATGACCATAAATATCGATTAAGGCTTGATTAAATCAAGTTGGTTCACATGCTTTCTATAACAAGCATCATTTTGCTTCGCTCTCTTCTCTTCCTTCGCTTCATTCTTTTGACTATCTATTCTGATCAACGATTGTATGAAATATACGCATTCAAACTTCATTCTCATATTCGACTTATTTAATTCCGTTATTCATTGATTCGATTTAAGTCGTTAATCATATTTGAGTAATGGCAACAGTTATATTTCAATAACAATCATTCATACGATCCGAATGGATTCAGACATAACTGGTTAACGCTTTTTTAGCGAGTTGGTTTTCTACGGCTTGGTGTCGCTAATCTCATGCCCAACCCTCCTCCTTTAGCTGGGCTTGGGACCGGCAGTGGCACCCGGAGGAGCTACAGGCGGAATTATTCAGACATAACTAGGACCCATAACTCAAAATTCTAATAAAATATTAAATAATGAGATAGATTCAAATCCTGATTACGAAGGACCTGGAAAGATATTTTAAACAAGGGAAAACAAAATAGTTGAGATTTGCTATAATAATTACATTGAGTTCGTAAAAAAAGAATTTCGATAGAGTTTTGTTCTCTAAACTGGATGGTTTGATTGTGGAGATTCTACCCGACGTTTATGCTGATGATTTGGTTCAGAAGGACAATGAAAGTTCCACGACCAAACCATCCAGCTCAGAGAACAAAACTCTATCAAAATCATCCACCTGAGCTATAAATCGTCTCCATCATCTCAGAACGAATTTCGTAAGGCAAAGCGATTACCTATAAAACCACTCAAGAATAAAGCATTGATTTTTTAGGCAAAATTTTATTTCGAAAAACAATATGGATTCACACGAGAGAAGACATCTATGATTAGAGGAGCCTTCGTTTTCTCTTGTTAGTAATATACTGTTGTTTCGTATTATTATTCAGTGCTGTTAGTCATTGAATGTAGGTGTAATCCGAATGTCGGTATGGTAGTAATTTAAGTCACTTGAAAATTAATTCGAAATAGATTTGTGACAGGTGAATTGTAAAGCATTGCTGACGTTCGATTTTGCAAGTTAAAATCCACAGTAGCTATTTAATGTATCAACTGTACTCGACTAAAGTATGCTAATGATATCACCTATACGAAGAACATCTAATTACTTTAAGTAGTTTTTCTTTTTATATAACGAAGATATTTCTAATTTTTCTCCAAACCTGTATAAAGCATTGTTATATCGATTGTGCGAACTGATGCGAGTATACTCTGCATCAGTTCGCTCTGTTCTACTTTACGGCTGTGAAACATGGCCATTAAGAGTAGAAGATACTCGTAGGTTACTAGTATTTGACCACGGATGCCTTAGTAATATTGCTCACATCTGCTGGGATAACCGCGTAAGTAATAGTGAGGTTAGACGCACGGTATTAGGGAACGATGGAAGATCAGTTGATGAGGTGATGAATCGTCATTGACCGAGATGGTTGGGCCATGTGTTACGTATGCCTGAACACCGATTACCACGACGCGCTATGATGACTAGTATTGGGGATGGTTGGGAGAGAGTTAGGGGCGGCCAAACCAAAACATGGCATCAGTGTTTGAAGTCACTAACTTCTAGTCTGAGCCATATTGGCAGATGCAGACTACCTGGTTGGAGTCCGCGTGACTATCGTAACCAATGGTTGGAGACTCTGTGTGACTTTTCTCAGAATTGATCACAATGGCGTAGGTGTATACGCTCTTGATCTTCCCTTAAACCTTGAGACTAAAATTGCTTCATTACGTTCTTCCTTCCCGTAATATATCCTTATATCCAACCTATAATTTGTATACTACTACCAACACTAAATTAACTACCTTGAATCCGGTGTTCATCTTGTTGTGCTAACGAGGTATGGCAACCTGGACCGATGCATATATGTGCCTGGTCCTACGTTGTAGCTGACTGACTGACTGATATCGATTGTGCCTCTCAGGATGCCCAGTGAATATATAACGTGCTGATTCCCGCCAATTAGAGAGGAGTAAATTGATTGATCGGAGCAATGATACATAAAATCGTACGAGCAGTCTAGAGTGCGTATTAACCCTGCTTTCTGCCTAACCCAGCTTGTTAAGTCCACAACAACAATAACGGCCTCTGTGTTATGAATCATTATTCTCAAACATACTGGGTTTATATACCGAACAAACGGACCACATCGTACCATAAAATAGAAAATAACATTTGTACAATAATTGGCCAAATGTGACTGTGAATAGGGGGAAAGTAATCAATAGACTGATGATAATAGTTCAAAGGTCAAAATAATGATAATAATGATGATAATAATGATAAGAGGAACACGAATACGATTAGGTTAGTTATTTAACAATTATACAATAGGAAATATACATATTATATTGGTCCATAAACGGTCCTCAAAGTTATCATTCATAATTCACTAGGGGATATAACATAAATACTTTACTATTTAAATTAAACTAATACTTTCAATATTATCAGTATTTAACAATTCAACTGTTCCTGTGGAGCTAGTTATATAGGGCGTACAATTTACCAAGTTCGTCAACGAATAACAAAACACTAACCGCCGTAGCTGATCAAAGGACAGGTAAAAGTGATTATGAGTTCTATTCTCGCTCATTTAGTGAACATAGGTCATCAAGTTGAACAGAATAAAACTTTTAAGGTTATCTACCATATTCAATCAAATTTGTCTCATGGGTTACGTGTTTGCCTTTTGTACATTGCTGAAGCCATCACAATCTATGTTCAAAAACCGAACCTATGTATCCAAAAGAAGTTTCTTACAATCATTACGTAACGTATCTACTCGAAGAGTGTTATTTCATTATTGTAAATCATATACATATATATTAGAGTAGAGCCATGATGAAAAACTAATTGAGAAGAAATTACTTTGCTTGATTCGTTCCTTCTTTATTTGACTGATTCCTGAAACCGAATAGTAATTATAGATTCTCATAAGTAAATATCAGTCTTTATGGTAGATATACCCGTTTGCATTGAACATGATCTTTTTTGTTTCTCATGTGAAAATTTCAATCAAACTAAATGATCAGTTACTGGGTTTTATTTATGTTACTAAGATGTACTTAAATAAGAAATCAGTATTAAAATGCACTTCTTCATCATCATACGTCAATTATAAAATATAATTCATTTCGATATAATGAGAACCATTTATCGTCTTTTGGTTAAATGGCCTTAAATAAGTTATTATACGATTATAGTGGATCATAATAGTTGAATTCAAGATTCCATCTAAGCTAGATAACCATTGAAAACCTAGAAACACTTGAACTCAATATCTTTGATCTTACTTGCAAAC